GGCCAATTGGCGTGAAAGCCCTCCAAGCCACGTCTGCACCCCCAGGCAGGCATCACTGTTCCCCTGGGAGTAAACCAGCTGTGACAGATGTTAGCCAGAAAAGTAGGGAAATGCAAAGCTTACAGCAAACACTGAGACCTGCTGCCTGACACTGACTGAAGCTTTGTGCCAGACAGTGGAGGCAGTGGAAGCTCATGACAGTGGGCTTAGGGTAACGTGTTTAACATATGCACTGATGTGATTTATAATTCAATGCAAGATCTTCAAACACAATGCCGTTTAATGGAGAAAAAAAATCTGTTCACTCAGATATTTAAACATCTGAGTGGTGGAATTAAAAAAAGCAGTTCTAGTACAGCCCTGTGATACTGCCCTTAATGCATCTGGTGGCCTCCTTAGTTTCTCATTGTTAAGTGGGTTTGTGGATGTAGGGCAGCCTTTGAGGTCAGACAGGTAGGTCACGCAGGCAGTAAGAAACAGGAATAGTTCTGTGCAGCTGCAGGAGCACAAGCTGTTGGTACAATGGATGCTGTCAAGTAGCGCAGAAGACTGTAGTAGGATGGTCTGATGCAGGTCTGGGAGGGAACACCAGCCTGCATCTCATCAGGAGCATGCCCAGAAGCTCACACTTAAGGGCAACTCGATATCTTGACAGACTGAGAAGCTGGGGAGCGCATCACTGATTTTCCAATTGGCAGACGACCCACTACATCTCCTGAGCCAGAAAATGACACAAGGAATAGGGTTGTGATGTGATGACTCCTAGAGTGAGCAGCCAAAAGAAGAATAATTACACCACCAGCCTGAACTGCTGATACAAGTCAGAATTGGCCTGTTCTCTCATGTCGCAGCAGAAATGGAGTCTCATCAGTTTCCTGTTCTTAGCTGACGAGTGGCCCCCTGTGTGACGTCCTGACTGGATATTTTCTCTTCTTTCAGACGATTCCCAGTGAGACAGGAAAAATTAAGGTCAGGCGGTCTAGCACCAACAACCGTGCCACAAAACAGCTTAAAATCACAGTTCTTCCCCATTCTGATGCTCAGTTGGAACTTGGGTGGCTGTAGCTCAGGTGGCAGAGCAGGTCAGCCACTAATCAGAAGGCCGGTGGTTCGATCCCAGGCTGCCTCCTGGCTGCATGTCAAATATCCTTGGGCAAGATATTAACCCCGTGTTTGCCTACTGGTGGTGGTCAGAGGGCCCGGTGGCTGCAGTGTCCGGCAGCCTCGCCTCTGTCAGTGCGCCCCAGGGCAGCTGTGGCTACAATGTAGCTGCCATCACCAGTGTGTGAATGTGTGGATGACTGAATGTAGTGTAAAGCGCTTTAGGGTGCTTAAGGACTAGAAAAGTGCTATGCAAATACAGGCCATTTACCATTTACCAACTTCAGCAGGCCATCCTGACTATACCTAAATGCACTGAATTGCTGCCATATGTAGCAAAAATATGGTATTTGTCCCAGTCTTAACAGCAATAGAATCAGTGCCTCCTCAGGGTGGTTGTTATAGAAAAAAATTTCGTTTTAAATTTTATCTTAGTACGTAAATATCATAATTAAAAGCAACTGAAACAATATTTTCAACCTGGGTTTAGGTTTCGCTCTGTTATCACCCCGAAAGAGATCTCTCAAAAACTTCTCACATTCTTAGTGTGTTTGAGGCGATGAGCCTTCTTGTACAATATTTAAGACATTTAAAGTAAGCAGACATAAGCGTTCATCTTTAATTTAACCCGTGATGAAAAACAAAGCGAGTTTGCCCATTTTTCTATGGAGAATGCTGCATTTTATTCTTCTTCCACATACATAGAACCATATGTGCACTGTAGCCAAAAATGTGCATATTTACAAAAATGAAATCAATATACACAAAAGAATTATAATACAAGAGAAAATAAATCCTTCAGTAATCCTTACGATAACAACATAGCAAGTACAAACAAAAGTTATTTTTGACACCTTGTGAAGTTTTTGTGCAGAGATTTCTTTTCTCACAAGATGAAATGTTTGTATGTTACAAAATCAGATGCACATGAAATATGCAAGGTGCAGCTCCGGGTAAGGGTGACACCGCTGCAGCCTTCATTGCGGTACATCTGTAACTTAAACTATGTCATCTTAACACTATTTTTTGTGAGCAAACTTATGATCCGTCATTTTAAATGCAAATTAATTTTCAAAGGGTAAGTCTAAACTGTTTTAGTGTTTGTTTCCATTCAAGGTCAGACAACTGACATGTGTCGGCTACAGACAGAAACTTTTAACCCAGAGCGGGTCTGTTTGGGAAGTAACGTCACTTTGATCATCAGAGCAGCAAATTCAGGTTTTCTTCAGAGATCATTTTATAAAGTGCAGCTTTGAGAAAGAACAGAACTATGAGAGAAGGGACTTTCTGCAAATATCATATGAAAAAGAAAAATCACCAATGAGATAAAACAGTTTATAATGGTCTACCTTTGAAGGGAGGAAAGCATCTAAAACTGGGTTTGAGAAGGTAGAGTTGGGAGGGGTGGTTAAATTAACTAGAAACGTTTTTTGGTAGTTGTTTAAATTCAGCTTGAATATGCACACGTATCGTAACTCGGAGAAACGGCTTGTGAACAACAGCCTCTAAATGTTGGCCACGAGCACGCCTAAGGGTGTTTCTTTGATGTGCTCAGCTGCCAAAACAGAAGCTTTGATGTAATTTCCTGCTTAACTTTTGACCAGCTACTGCTTTTGGGGATTTCTATTCACTGTTTCATCCGGCTGATCTCATGCTTCCTGAAATTCTGGCTGTCTCAATTAAAACGCAATTCCAACAGATGCACTGCAAACGAAAACAAAGTGTTCTTTTAAACTTCCCGTGTTAATATTGAACGACTCCGAACTGCACAAACCGATGTTAGGTTTGTAGCCTGGTACTGCTTGACAGTGGAAAAAGAAAAAAAATGCTTTGCTGAAAGTTTCAAAACATGCAAAAACCTGCCAGCGTCACACGTGTCTCAACATAAAGCTGGAGAACAAGCTGAGAGTCTGTATTAAGAAGTTCAGGAGAGGAAACCGGTCGTGAGCTGGTGCAGCGGTCCAGAAAGAGCGCGCCCAGTGCTGGTCCCACATTCATGGAATCTCTGGACTGTTGTCGAGAAACAAAGAAATGATTACCTAGAGACTTTTCTTGTTTGACGAATGTGGTAACTTTTAACATTTTGGTGACGCAGACACCGGTGCTGTCGACCTTAATCGACCTGAAAGTGAAGGAGAGAAAAAGTAGATCGTCCCAAACGATGGGTTTCAACAGTAGCAGCTAGTTTGACGATCAGTCTCGATGAAAAATAAAAATAATTAAAGAAAAAGTCCTCCAAGCTGGAAGAGATGGTAAAATAAATTATTTTTATATATATCCTTGCGT